AAAGTAAAAAAACTTAAAAAATTATAAGGATAAAAAATGTTTAAAAATATAATTTTTTAATGAAAACGTTGGTTTTTTAACAACTTGAAACAGTTGAAACCATATAAAAAAATATTTTGAAAAAAGTAAATACTTTTCGAGATAATTAGTGTACCCACTTAAAAGAATCACCCTGTATACGGTTCAATGATTTAGTAGTAACATCTTTAGATGTACTTACTACATAAACAAAGTAAAGCAAACTTTATTGTTTAACGAATGCATGGCTTTACCCTTTACCCTATATTTTCAAAATTAATGCAAAGAATTACTATTTGTTCAGAATTTGAAATGTGGCGAAATAAGCATAAAGCAGACGTGATTTTTGTTTTCTATCCATATGGTAAAGTCCAGATTCATAARCTCAAATTAATTTATCTATTTKTAAATATTACAATATTTCATTTGGGAGTTAATCAATTGCGCTATAAAATAACCTTCTCATAGACAAATATTGCGCTCGGTAATTTTTAGAGTAATATTCATTTTATTCAATAGGCAATAGCACATAATATATTACRATATTTTTATTGTAATATAATTTACGTTAACATTATTAATACACATATAACATAATCGTCATAATCTAACACACAAAAAATATATAATTAAAATTAAATAAATTACTATTATAATAATGTTATTTTATATTGCAATATATTTTTAGTGTATCATCATAGTGATCTATATAACTGATATTATATTATTASATAAATAAAAAATAATTTAAGATTTTTTATAAAAACGATTTGTTCGTCAATATTTTCAATTTGTATACAATGAACCTCAATAATTGTTAGTACATATTTTATAATATATACCTAATATACATGAACATATACCAGTACAATTGGTATACTCAATAGGTACTGATCCTAAGGACCGTTTCACATGAACGCATATCATGTGTGACGTATCGAAAGCTCGCGTTTTTAGTTTCCATTGATTAAGTTCATACGCGCCATAGTGGCGAGGGAATCGCGGCATCAACGATTGGCGCGTATGAACTAAATTAATTGTAAAATGTAAATGTCACTGAAAAAGCGCGCGTACAATTTGGACCCATGTGAAACTGTTCTGGAATACAAATTTTGTGTTGAGCACAACTGGTCCTGCCCATCTCATTTATTGAGTCAAAATGGGATACGGATTAATTTTTTCATATAATACATGCAGCATTGACGTGCTATTGTATATATATATATATATAACTTATAAGAGAATCAATTTAAGTGTTCGATATTAATTATTTTTTATTAATTTTGATAATTTTGATAATTTTTATCGTTATCACTTTTTAAGTTTTTACATTTCTGATTTTTGAATGACAACATATTCACATTTTTTATTTAATTAATTTCTCTTAATTTCTAGGAGTATATTTTCGGAAAGGTATTTTAATACTTAAATTAATTTTTAAGAGTAGTTAAATACTTATAAAATATATTTGAAGTGTAGATGAGATTATTATTACCCTACCCCTGTGCCACTACTAAGCTCAATATAAATTTAAAATATGAACTTAAAAAGTAAAAATTAAATATCTATAATCGTTTGTACATCAACTTCTATTACACGTGTATTAACCACTATTTCTTAATCATTAATAATTATTATTAATTGTAAACGAGTAAAATATTCTTTTTTTTAAATGTTTATCTTATGGACTCCTTGAGTCTTGACTAAAGTTCTAGGATATCGTCATAACTTATTCATTTATCTAGACAATAACGTGAAATCATTAAAACGAATTTACTCACATAAATTATTGTACTAATTTTGTTGTAAATATTTAACCTTATAGTTTTAACGTGTGGTATAATATCCACTGAAGGTATAATAAGTAGTATATATTATTATCTTGGCCAAGTTTTACAAAAGTGGTACACCCTTATCAGGCCTGTGATTACGCAAACAAAATACCTACATCGGCTACATTTTCAAATTTAAACTATGTATTATGTTTGTACGTAGATCATATATTATTTATTCATATACCTACCTATTGTTTATTTTAATACTGTTATATTTTCGTTAATAATTATTACGTGATTATAGGAATTAGGTAATAAATGTGTTTTATGCATTGTTTCTGACTTAAAACAATGAATTTCTATGTATAATATATTAATTAAATTTCTTCTTTACCTAAATACTTGAGATAACATTATTATGATTTAAAATTCTTAAAGATACATGTTTTCATTTACATTCGCTATTGCATCAGTAAAAATCAAGTGCAGTGTCGATATTATGGCCTGTCTTACCTAACTGTACCTGCTCTTGTTATTAGGCGATAAATTATCTGTACTTATAAGTTTTTTTATTTTTACACTGCAGTTGAACATGATATTTTATAACATTTGTGATGAAGCGACGAAATTATGAAAGACATGTAACACATAGCATGAATAATTATATTTTCATGATAATAGACTTTTTAAACATTAACATTTTAGTYTACAATATACTYGTTTTTGTTGTTATAACGATTATCAATATATATCATTAGTCCTTAATGGTTAAATCATTAAATCAACCATTTTAGTTATTAATTTACATGTTTAAGCGATGAACATTTTGTTTTTGATTACAAAAAAAAAATTTTTAAATTAGTAACTAGTGTAATAACTGATTGGTGTTAATAAATAATAATTATATAGACTTGTACTATATTATATTATTTGTAGTAAYACAATATTATACACATACAGGTGTGTATACTGTATAGTTATAACTACTTGTGTACAAACTTGTAAATTTATGTTAGTTTTAAAATCTAATAAATAACATCAATATTTTAATTTGACACACTATTTTAGCTTCAAATAAAGTTTGTTATTAAAAATTATACCTACTTACATAATACACCTATTATACATTTTTAAACATATCGTATATCCATTACTAATATAAGTACCTAATAGATTATTAAAATTATTTATACTAYTATTAAAATACAAATGCAAGTATACAACTAGTATAATAGTATACATGTTTTTATTTAATATTAAAACCGAACTAAATTGTACAAGGCGATCCATTTAAGTGTTTGCYCCAATTCTTTTGAAGCCATAACTTCTTTGAAAATAATTTTTTAAGTAAAAATGTTTTTGCAGGCTAGATACAAGTTTTTTGTTTCTGACTGATTTTACTTAAAGTTATCGCTGTCATGGTACCTTATTATTAAAAAAAAAAAAACATATTTATGATTCATATATTTTCCTTGTGGAGGAAAAATATTGATTAGCATGCTATTGTTTTTTATGTGATCCCGTATTATGATGTCATTTAAACACAATATTTCTAAATAAATATTACTATTTGGTATTGTTATAATTTTTTAAGTTTTTTTTTACTTTTTCGAATGACTCCAAACATTTTTTAACTTAAAWTTCCTAATCAGAATATTATTCACAGTCTTATAATTAATAAATATCAAATTTCATATCAGTAGTTAGTAATAATTTATAAATAAAATATGTACAGTACTACAGTGTACACTATACCATATTTTATTAATACCTCTATAAATAAGTATTCGATGTAAACATTGTAAAAAATATAATCCTTGTATCCCAATGGTCTGTTACCGAGGGTAAATTTTGTTAATAAAAAAATTAATAAATAAATAAATAAAGATGACAAAAATCAGACATAGGTCAAAAAATGACATTAATTACTATTGATAATGATCACAAAGATTAGAACTTAAGTTTTTTTGAGTGTTATAAAAATTATAAAACAAAAGATTTTTTTGCCAATGTTTAGTGAATGAAATTTTGAGCCCAGTTGGTTAAAAAAATTTAAAGTTGTAGCTATAACCTATAACAATAACATTATAACTAACTAACACTTGTCTGACTTTTAATATTTATAGATTGAAATAATCTAATTAATATTCTATTTTGGAATATGGAATTTCAGATGAATGGTGTTCGAAAAATTTGATAAATTATAACGATAAAAAAATAATTTTTTTTTAGAAATATTGTTTTGAAATAACGTCAATTTATATTAAACAGGTAAAAATATTTTTAAAAAAAACAAAATTTTTCGAAAGAATGAGCGTAGTGTGTAATGACAATTTGATAATTATAAATAGATTACCTGGTAATATATTACAGGTATTTAAATTTGTTGTACCATTAATTCGTCTAATTATAATTTTTATTTATTTACTTATGTGGAATTTTCAATTGGTGTACACAGTTTTATATTAAAACTTAAGATAATAAATTGATGTCTATCGACTATAATATTATTTTTAATTGCATTATACGTAAATTAATTATATTATTCAGAATTACAGAAAAAAAAATGTACGGGTAATAACTAACGTCGAATTCAGATTAATCGTAATTCTTGGTACTCACCTATATTATTAAATAAGTGCATATTTATTTGTACCTATAACTAAATGTTTTCATAAATACACTTCTTTCAAATTGCTATCATTCGATTGAAATAATTTGTTCGGTAGGTATTGAATATCCTGTTCGAATTTAAATAAATTCATTTGAATTTAAATATTCCGATGCTGTTGTGTGTATAGTAGAACCTGTAGAACTATTAAGACGCAAACGTATTGTGTTGTATAACTGCTTGACTTTGGAGGATGGCGTGCATTATATTTATTGTACATACCGATATAATATACCCATGGTACACAAATTCCGCATTGTAGATGTATAGACGGACGATTTTATAGAGACCACCGTGTCATTATTATGCCTAAAAAGTAAAAAGATCATAACCCGAATTTTATAATATGAAACAATTTTCTTAGTGCATTCTGCCTAGGACAATTTGCTCACCGGGATCGCTGCTAGCTGTGCCGAATGCCGGCTTTCATCCACGTCCCACGGTGGATTGTATACAAAATACGAATATCACCCGAACGGACGGTTTAAGACGGCATTACTGCATTATAGTGTTGTACAGACGTGTRCGGTACCTCGTGGCAGTCAGTACTGCATACTACACTTTAGTTGTACGCTTGTACGCATACCGTTAGGTTCCGASCCGTCGCGATACCAATATACGTCGATCGTGCGTTTCGATATCATATAATTTTTAATTTTCCAGACATCAATACTATTCAAGTCATTATTTTCACTATCCGGACGTAAACGAGATTCGCAATAATAATAATAATTATAATTCAACGTCCGTCTCTTTGGTCAGACAGGTAAGATTTTTCGCTCTTCCGATTCCTTTGGTACACTTGTTAGAAAAAAAAAAACCAGCGACCGCCGATAGGTTTAACATTGTTATCTAATAATAAAACTATACCGTGTGAGTGCGACTTTCGAATAATAAATTAAATAGCGTTTTGCCTAAGTCGCTGTATTAATCGAAATGGTGTCGTTTCGTATATCTACGGGCATACAGTTGACATGAAAAATATCGTTTGTACGTCATGAGATGCCCAACTATGGTCACACAGTGATTATGATAGTGTGTGCATACCATAATATTTGGTCGCAATTTACAGTTTTTAATTTTTTAATGCTTACTACCTATAACGGCTTACGCTGTAATTACGTCTTCATATTTTCCTTTGTCGTTATTATTGTATATTTTATTTTTATTTCATTGTCACTTTACTATAATATTGTGGTTTTATTTTACTTTAATATTTTGATAAGATAATTCTAGAGATAATATTCTATAGTCGGCTTGTTTCATGAAAATTAGAGATACTATCTTGCCGATTTCGTTGTTAACATTTACGGTATCTAGTGGTGTAATGCTCAAATATAATATATATATTTAAGCAACAGGCGTACCAATCAATTATCTTTCATATTTTACAAAAATCAACGGAGTAATGCATTTTTTTTTTATCAACGACATAAATACTTAAATTCATTACATACCRATTTCAAAATGAAAAATAAATATCATTGTAGTTTAGAAAAGTGGATAGTAATATTAAGTAGGTTTTAATATTTTTATGTAATTAGAATTACTGTTATATTTATTGACCTATACGCGAAGGAATAGTAGATAGGTATACAAATTTATCCATTTTAAAATTAGATGTACATAATTATTATTATAATATAAAGAATTTTAGACATGATAATATTATAATACCTTCAATAATTATGAAAAAAATGTTATAAACGCTCTTAGATTCAAAATTCTTCTGTTTATGTATTACCTAGTAGGTTATAATAGTATATAATATGTATTTCAGTCATTCATGTGTTCATAAACATTTATAGTTAAATGATCCATAAATAGATAATTTTTAAATTTTTCGATAATGCATAATTCATTGTCATAAATTATAAAATTTATTTTTTAATTATTCATCTTCTTATTTATTATGCATGGACTAAATGATTTCCTGTTTAATGTTTATGAATACGATGGAATCTAATTAATTTGTTTTGTTTGATAAAGTTTAACAATGAAATTGTATTTATTAATACATTCTTTTCAACCCATAAACATAATAAATTGCTATGAATTGATTTTGAATTTTGGTATTTTATTGCACTGGTTTTTTTATCGTTTTTGTATGCCTAATCGCATTCGGTTKTAAATTGACCAGACCTATAATCACTTCGAATATTATTTTGTGTTTTATCAACCTTATTTATACGATTACCTACCACTTTTTTTTTCATTCGATAATATTAAGATTTTGAGTAAAGACTAAAGAATATATATAAGTAGTTCAACTTATTAATAGCAAAAAGATACAATATTGAATTGATCGTAGAAAGTTGGGTAATAAGCACAGCAATATTATATTACAGACAATCCTGGAACCATCAAAAGTGCAAGTCATTATACTCCGTCCAGCAAGGAACGTACCAATTTTGCGCATTTCCCGCTTGCCTTGACACCTTGTCCTGTCACTTAGTGATGCGCAGAAAAATCGGTTGGGTCGCGGTGTGTGTTCTCGCTGGACAGAGTACAGACAATAACTTTTTTTAAATTTATTTGAAATTAGTAATTTATACCTTTGGGGCACAATAGGCTTATAGAAAGATTATAATGTTAATGTTATTATGTTAATTTCGTTGTATCGATAGACAATTAAAATAGATAGACAACATAATATTCTTTATTGGATGATAACAAAGATTCAATTGTATGGAATACTAAAATATAAATTTATGAAGGAATATACTGCCGTTCTATTAGTGAAACCTATAGAGGTTAGGTCATTAAATTTTAGATTCCTATAGTAGAGCAAGAAATTAACAGCAACTTAACGGGCTTTAAATTATTATTAATTTTAAGTTTTTACGTGAGCGTAGCAGGTTAAAAATGATTAAATTTTCAACTTTAAGTATAGTTAATTGGGTTTAGTTGGTACTTTGAGCAGTCAAAAGAATTTCAAATGTTTCTATTTATATAATAAATACTTATAATAATATTTTGAGAAGATTATGTATTTATTATACAAGCCATCATTAACACGACGAATATTAATTATTAATAATTATTATTACACTTTCAGCTTTATGACTTTATGGGCATTTAAAAAAAAATGTTAAACGTTATTTAATGTTATTATAATTATTTTGTTTTTATTTTCGAATCAAACGGAAATCATAAAAACAATTTAATCGTTACATATATATATCGTTTATAAATTATTTTCATGAAATACAACATATCGGAATCAGGAACTTTCAGTTAATATTATTTTTGAGTTCTGGCTGAATTTTAAAAGAAAAGTATTTGCAGGTATAACATTAACTTATGATACAGGTGTCCCTCGAGAAATTTACTCATTGCGATATCTCCTGAGATAGTAAATATATCATAAATCTGTTTTTTTATTATAATAATATATTAGACTCACATAGACAAGGGCTACATGTATTTTAAATTTTTGGTAAAAAAGTTTAAAAAATTATTTTTCAATTTTTAATTTTTCAAAAAAATAAAGATACTTATTTTATAGAGTTTATTTTGCTGAAAATTTTGACCTCTCAACATTTTATTTTCATTAATCATATGATTTATAATAATTTTTTTTAGTTTATAGATTATTAATATTAATATTAATTGTTTTGATACCTTATATATATTCTGTTTCACATTTACTCATTGTGCCTAAGGTATAGATTGTAAATTTCTTAAAAAAAAAAAAAAGTTTATAGATAAAACGGCAAAAACTGGTTTTTATCCGGGCGGCGAGTCCCCCTTTACGGCTAATGCGCGTATATCATCACTGGACACTGTATATTATTATTAATTATAAATTATCGAGCAAAATATTGTAGAGATATATATGTAATTTATGAATGATTTGCGGTAGAAGAAGATATATAACGTAATATGATTTTTGAAGGTACACTATACTAACACGTGGCAGAACGATGATGTTATTTAGGTAAACATACTGCGATTACACTGTATGTTCCACCCGGTATAAGAAATAGCAGACTACCTATATGACTATAAATGATAACTATTTTGATATGCATATACCATCACTTGGCACTTATATCTCTGTTCTTTTTATTTGCCATTGGTTGTAGCATAAAATTAAAACAACCGTGTTAATATACATATATCTTACACGTATGATATTGTAATACAGTGGCCTTACTTGCGGCTATTACAAATCTATAGATATATTATTATTATATTTTCTGCGTACTATTCAGTCCCGTTCAAAATCACATAACCGTTAGTTATAGTTGAAACAATTTTCAACACTGAATCTCAGTTAGCTTATATKATGTGACTATGCATAAATACTAGCATTACCTACATTTTCTCACTATAATAATTTCATATTTTATTTTGATGTGTATTGTTATAATTTCTGTTAAAATAATTGGTTATCCTAACTTTCTTTTTTAATTAAATAGGTAGGCAAGTGAATAAAAATTACCATAGTAGTATATTATTAGTATAAGCAGAGTTTGCGAACCGCTGATCGATGATACAAATAGGTATCACTAGGCAAAGTTAAGGTATGTGTTCTGTGTGTGTTCTGTAGTCATTGGCGCCTGATGAATAATTCGTTGAAAAAAATTCGTCGTAGCTGTTACCTACAGCAGACTTATCTAGTAACACTGCACATTTCATTATAATATACATTTATATTCGTGCACATGTGATTGTTAATGTAACCTACGTATAATACGTATATAAACCTAATGTATATTCTATAATGAGTAGTAACACATTACAAGGTACAGTGTGATTCACTAAACACCCTCGCCCCCCACCCCAATTTTTTCGTTTATTTCATTTTGTAATGAATTTATAGTTTATACGAATTCTGATTTAAACACAATTGCATGTTATTTATATACCACAAAACTATTCTCATTTTTCACGATTTTTCGCGATGTGCATAACAGTGACTTACTTACACTAAAAAAAAAAACACATTCTTAGAGATAAATTGTATATTAGGTTGACAAAATTCTTGTTGATATAGAGCCGACAAGATACCTTGTTAGATTGATAGATAGTAGTTGGAATTAGTATGATCAATAGTTCAAAATCAATTATCATCATGATCATATGTATTATTATTATAACATATATGGATTTTTGAAGTATTTTCACTATAATAGTATTATATTGTTAGATTAATAAAATCTATTATCATACTAATTCAACTATTATCAATTTAACAAGATATTTTGTAGGATCTATATCTATATCAACAAGAAGTTTGTCAATCTAACATAGAACTTTACCTTTTTTGTAATTTTATTTAAAAAAAAAAAAAAACAATTAAGTCAAACCTTTCTATAGTTCACTCTAAATTTTAAATAGTATAGAAATTACATTGGAGTACCTATAATGTTTAAAATAATACAACTTTTTTTTTATAGTTAAATTATTTATTAGTATTTAATATATGCAAGGCTAGGCACACTCGACAACTTCTGTACAGCTATGAGCTAATAGTGGTTATCTTCTTTCCATATTTTTTTCCAATTACCCTTTTAAGTGTTATTTGTTACTCCCAAAGAACCTACTAGATGTTCTATCTGTAGAAACATTTTTCGAAGCAGAAAATTGGATAACTCTTTTTCTAAAAAAAAATACATTGTAGGCAAAATTAATAATCCCTACGCTCTGCAGAATCTAAAACGTAAAATATATTTTATGTTAAAAATTGCCTACTGAACTAATCCATTTTTCGATTTGATTGTGATTGTATGTTCAAAGTTCAAGGTGAATCATGTACATAGGTATACCTCTCTAATCAAATTAACACACAGTATAGTTTCACCTTATGTATTCGTGAAAAAAATAATTCTATAGGTTACCGAGACGAGGTTATCGAAAGGTTTACATTACTAAAATCACGTGATATAGGATTGATATATTTAATTTAATTTAATTTCTGAGTGTTACCTATATATACTTTTTTCAATTCTTAACAAAGGAAAAACTTACACTTAATTAGTATAACTTGTCCTTAGTTCTTAGTAAAATATTATCTATTGAACGCCGTATTATTGATCAGTAAAGAGCTGATATAGTGATATTGATACGTAATTATAATATATTATTATACTCATGATAATTTATAAAAAGGTAATATAGATAAAATTTAAAAAATAAATAATTTAAAGTATTTTAATCCAGACCATAAATAAAATGGTTATAAATAATAAAATAAAGATATTTAGTAGAAATAAAATCATCCACCCTCCCTTGGTTGCCCGACACATCACTCACTCGACAGACATCAAATCGTACTCAACAGATTACGAATTGGCCACACACTTTACACTCATGAACAAAAAGGAACAACGTATATGCACCTCATGCAACTCCGCAATTACTATTAAGCACCTTCTAACTGAATGCCTCCTCACAAAAGATGCCAGAGACAAACTTATGCTCCCCAACAACCTTTGTGAAATACTAGCACCGAACACGGAAAGAACATCTTCACTCCTAGAACTTCTCAAAGAAGTTTTCGTTTTCGTTTTTATTTTTTACTTCACTATCCGATTAGTGATAAAGTATTGCTTCTGACTTGTTTCCTTTCATTTATGTACCTATCTAAGGAATATAAACATTAATTAAATGTAGATAATAAGTAGAAATTTAATCTTATAAATGCATTTCAAAAAAAAAATAAAAAATGAAATGTGACTAATGATTTGATAATAATTTTAGATTATTTATGAAATTAAATGTTTTTAGCTTGTTTGGCCATTGATACCAAAAACTTAAAACTATTGTATGCGATCTATAAACATAAAAAAAATTTGGTTGACACAGTATTTAGCTCCATCATTACACGTTATAACAACATCTATAAAAGAAACTTTCTTAGTTCTAAATGTTCTAATGTACATAATAGAATGCACTTTATAAAAATTATTCAGAAAAAAGCTTTTTGTTTTTAATTAAAAAAAAAATTAATTTTGCGGTATTTTATATTGAAAGATATAATTAATTAAGTTTTTCAATACATTATTCAGAATTTATAGGGTATAAGAACATTTTTTTTTTTAGGGAATTCAAATCTTAACTCTCATATTGATTATAATTTATAATAATTGACCCATAAAGTTGAGTATGCCCTTGATTATACATTATTCTATATAAATTAAAATTGTGTTCACCATAGTCCTTACCTATATTATTATTATATGGTAAATTCTATTTTTACACATGTTACACATAAAAAGCCTTGGAACTTGCTCTATTGTATAGTTATAACTTGTCATTGACTTTAGGGCACTTTACCTATTAGATGTGTTAGTTGTTAAATTTGAATTCAATGGTAAATCATTGTAGTATTAAAAAAAAAACAATTCTTTGCAGGGGAAACGATAATGCAATTTGTATTAGTATTTAAATTGATTATGTTTTATGTTAAATATAAATTTCCTATTTGGTTTAATATATCTATCTATAACCCTATGTACTTTAATTATTTTTTAATTGCTTAAAGATTAACTTATGAGAAGTATATAGCGTACGAAGGATTTTGATTCTTTCAGAATTTTACATTTTTACCTATGGCTAATCATAAACCTGAGGGGGGGGGGGGTAGAGTTTCATCCAGTTTTTATATACATGATTAATACAAATTTATATATCCCAATATTTTTTTGTTTTTTTACCGAGTACTAGTACAAATTATAGGTTTCTTAAACAGGATTAAAAAACATTATAGTAAAACCAATGAATTCCTTGGTTGACTCTAAATCTAAACACATTACTGAATAGCAAGATAAAAGTGTTAAATTTCAAAATTTTGACTATATGCCCCATATTGAATAATAATATTAATTGCTAAATAAACTGTAAAAAGTAATATAATATTAACTTATAGTTCAATTGTATTATTTTTTTCTAGTTCAGAAATATTTTATACGTCTATACAATCCAATAAATAAAATGACATCGATACCAAAAAACGTAAAATTACGCCGAGAACTTGGTCTTTTCAGCGCAGTCTGTCTAATTATCAGCGTAATGTTAGGTAAGTAGTTATTTATTAGCTATTATAAAAATAAATTTACATTTAAACCTGCATTATTTTGACTTCAGATTATTATAATGAGTGCATTTTTTTCTTTGTAGGATCGGGAATATTTGTGTCTCCGGCCAATGCATTAAAGAACACAGGATCTGTTGGCATGTGTCTTGTCATTTGGATGTCTTGCGGTCTTTTATCACTTTTGGGTAACTATTTTTTAAATCAATCTGTGTATAGATGTTATAGATTTATATAATATTATGTATTAGCTAGTAAGTATACATTAACAATGCATACAAAAATGTAATAAATAATAATCAATAACAACTGTAATTTGTATAATAAGGATAACTATTCATTTAGTTGGACAAACATTGTCTAACTTAATACAACAGTTAAATCAAATAAAGTGCATAATTAATAAATAGTAGTCAATTTTATAGTTGGAATAACAATAATTATCTTACTAAAAAAAATAAGTTGTTTTAACTATCTGTTGTCACGCATAATATATGCCTATATATACATTTTGATTAGATTTAACATATAAAAATAACTTTTTTTTTCCATGGCATAAGTAATAACTAATAAGTATAATAGCAAAAGATAGCTGCTTAAATTATTATTACAATCGCTTTACTCRCAATATAATATCATGTTCAGGTGCCATGTCGTACGCCGAACTCGGTACGGTTGTCAATAAATCGGGAGGCGAGTTTAGTTTCTATCAGTCTGCATTTGCGGACATGCACAAATTCTGGGGACCTCTGCCAAGTTTCATATATTCTTGGGTGAGCATCATGTACGTTCGCCCTGCCGAGGTGGCCATCATTATATTGACGTTCGCTGAATACTTCATCCGGCCGTTCAGCATTATGACTTCCATGACGCCCGAAAACGAACATATGGTGAAGAAGACCGTCAGCATACTCGCTCTCGGTAAATGCAGCGTTACAATATTATTTTATTATTATATTATATATAGGTTAACACCTTTGTACGCACAGTAAGCTTTTATTACGATGTTTGTATCGGTTTTTTTTTTTGTTAGGTATCATAACTTTCATCAACTATACTAGCGTCAAGTGTTTCATAAAAATCCAAAACGTGTTTACTATATGTAAAGTCACCGCCTGCTTAGTTGTCATAGGTGGTGGACTATACCAACTCTACCAGGGTGAGTAATTTTTCTATTTTAACCATGTATTTTTAAAATCTACTTTATTGACGTCATATTTTTTCACTGTTTATTGTTACAGGCAATACTAAGAATTTGATGACTGGATTCGAGGGTACAACTTTATCCTTAGACTCACTTCCAATTGCCTTTTACAGTGGCCTTTGGGCGTACGATGGATGGTAAGTCTCGTAATCGTTGGATAATATAAATGCTTAACTAGGATAATATATAATAGTACTCTGCAGTTGTAACAAAAGTAATTTGCATCAGAGGCTAATAGTTAGGTAATATACGAATAATGTATAGGTAGGTATATACTATATACTATATACGTAATTATAATCGAGAGGTTTTGCCTCCATTTGGCGTCCCCTTTATTATGGTCTCAACAAGTTTCCACAATCCAACAAACATTTCATAAATGTTTATGCTTACTTTAAAATTTTAGATTATAATCGTATATACGGACCTACTAATTGGTGGTAAACTTTTGAAGATAATATAATTGAGATAATATCTATACTTCCTAGTATCTATTTTAAACAAATCAATCATAAATTATAATTTTCTATATTTTAATTAAGTTAATTGTTCATAATTATAGTATGTTAATATATATATTTTGAATAACATTTTTTAAATCAGTCTCAAGTTCTAATTGTAACAAGATGCATCGATGCATGTTATTAGGAAGGTAACACAGCAGATAATGTCTAATAACTTTTAACGTAACATTGAATAATATTGTAATTGTTAACAAACATTTTTTTAATGAACTATCTATAAACACGAATATTTTTTTCAAAATTATTTACAATGCGAAAAAAATTAGTTGTATAGCCACAAATTTGGAGCCCTAATCCAATTATCATGGTATAATTATGCTCATTGCTAATATAACGCGTTCGTGTTGCAGGACGGCTACGACCGTGGTGTCCGAAGAAATCAAGAATCCTCAAAGGTACGTAAGATTTCGTCATATTTTGACGACACATTTTATTTCCATCACTGCTCGCTAACAACGAAATGTACGTGTTACAGGAACATATTGCTCAGTATTCTTCTCGCGGTGCCGTTTGTCACCATGATTTATGTTCTGATGAACGTGTCATACWTGACAGTCCTGTCGGTCACGGAAATGACTTCGGTCCACGCGGTAGCGGTGGTGAGTATACTGCATATAGTGCATACCAAAATCGATATTCGATTGTCTCGATTTATTTCTGTCTACATAAAACAATTTTGACCTTTTTGATTTTCAGGAATTTGGAACACGAGCACTGGGAAGTTTTAGTTTTATAATTCCGCTTGGCGTGGCCACGGCGACTTTCGGCTGTGCGCTCAGTGTCCAATTCGGAATAACCCGGTTAGTCACCATTCAGTTATTAGGTGTTCATAATACGCTTGATTTCGCGTCATACGTATTTAATATAATATTTTATTATGACTTATTGTTTTTGATTTGTCATTTGTTTAGGTTGTGCTTTGCCGCGAGTAGAGAAGGTCAGATGTTGGAAGTCTTCTCTTACGTGAGCGTAAAAAAGCTGACGCCTGCCCCCGCTGTTGTTTTACAGGTATATATATCTTGATAATAATAAGACGTAGTTGTACTTTGTATGTATAATTTTGATTTTAATTTTTTTTTTTTTTTTTGTGAGAGTTTTTGAATCAATCTTACAACAATTTAATGTTTTGTTTTTTTTTTCAGGGCATACTCACGTTAATTTGTCTGTTGTGTGGAGACATTGTGGTTTTAATAGAGTTCGCTAGCTTCTTAGTGTGGATGTTCTACGGTATTTCCATGGCGGCATTGTTAGTGATGCGTTATACCAAGAGAGACGTTAAACGTCCATTCAAAGTAAACACATCATTATATTGTCGTACTAACGACATTAATGCTATCTACCACCTCTATGGTGGTGCCAAATAACAACTCTCCCGTGTCCTACTATGGACTTATAGGATACTCTATATATATCGGGGGAAAATAACATGATGAAATTATTCATCTTACATCAACTATTGAGTCTGTGTATCGAGTGCGATGAATCAATTATATTGTAGCTTCGGCTGCAGTCGTTATATAATATTCCGTTTGTCACCTTTATGGTGGCGGTACAGTCCGTATAATATGATATAGTAATATTTTCTTCGATGTCCTACTATGGGCTTTATAATATATGATTCCGTGCGTCGAGGGAACATGTTTATGTTGCAAAATAATATGATGAAAATATTCATCTTATGCTTGTATTGGATCGAATAAATCGATATTTCCGGGTCCTCAAAGGACTTAAAATTCCCATCGCATCTGTTGTCGGATGACTCGGGTGCGGTGTATAACTAAATATAATAATATTGTATTAATTTTCCGTGATTGTGTTTCTTTCACTAGCATCCAATTATTTATAGGTATATAGATCATAGAATATTTCGAACGATAGGAGGGTATACTATATAACCTTTGTTCCACCTGCACGACGATGACCTCATAATATATGACACGTCAATGTTAATGGTAACGAAATGAAATCCTATATATATACTGCTCTGCACATACACACACACTCGCAAATACTATATATAGGTGCATATTGGCAGACTGTATATAAGTATATATAAAAGTTATGTATGGCGTGTATAGGTATATGTTTATAGCTGTCGTACCTACCACGCAATAAGTATGTAGCTTCGATAACAGAAACGTATCGTTTGACTACGCTRTACGTTGCAGGTCAGCGAAAAGTTCGTCGTTTTTAATCCTTGTTTTATTTTCGTTCACGCAGGTACCAATCGTCATTCCAATATTCGTGCTCATCGTGTCCACCATTTTGTTCATCACACCCATTCTCAACGATCCCAAGCCACAATTCCTCATTGGTCTAGTGTTCATTCTGTCGGCATTTTTGATATACATTCCATTCGTGTATCAAAAAAAGAGGTTATCAATAGTCGGTACGTATACATAATTATAATATTACAACGTGCAAAATTTACATTTCGTATAAATACATTGGTTAAGTTACCAAAGTTTCAAATAATTCACAATAGTTTGTAATCKTAAGGTTCTATATACCGAAAGTCTCGATTTTTAAGTTTGTCCTTTAAAGTATGCGTTTCTTATAAATTGTTATAATTTTCTATGTTGTTAAATATGAATGATAATGAGATTTTTAAAAATGCACAAATTACTATATGATAATTATATAGGTACGTCGATTTTCAAGAATTATGTTTATTGTTGTAGGTACCCATAATATATTGATATAATATAAACGATGTTTTTTGAGTGTAGTTTACATAGATTAGATTTAGATTTAGTATGGTTTCTATCAAGTTTCATAATTTATCATCAATCTTTTTTTAATTTTAATTCGTACAATAATTTGTATAAAATATTTTTACAATAAACATCACAATAGATAGCGGGACATATAAGAGGAATTGGTTGGCTTGATTGAAGAAACTATTCAGTAAAAGTATTAAGTACGAATACTTTATGAAATTATTATATATCTATACCAAATATTATGTATAACTAGTGAGACGTACTTATTTGTATGTATAGATTAAAGATACTGTGTGTTAATAGCTTTAGTAGTCGCTATAGTTATTTGTGTCGTTATGTGAACCTATGATTTTTTTGTTCCATGTTTATAAAGATAACTTCACGAAGTTCATTCAAGTATTAATGGTGGTTGTGCCGCCGGAGAAAGATGAAGCGAATTCCGAGGAAAATCGCGTCGTAGAAGACGACGAAGGTGAAACTGAGGTACCCGCGATCGCCGCGTTGGTGTAAGAAATATTTATATTATATAAAGTCCTCGCCTTCCAAACGACTTTCTAGATGGTTGCGTTTTATATAACTATACAATATTAATTAATAATTTTTATGTATATACGACTGTGGAAACGGAATTCTAATTTATTATTAATTTTACGTCGTATTACCACGCCTGCGCGACACGTAAGGGACGAGTCTGTGATATTAGGATTAACAATTGTATAGTCTGTATAAATAATTATCCTCGAATCAGTCGTATTATATAGCTTCGAGAATAACGCCACCGAAAATTGTATTAAAGATCAATTTTTTGTATAATAGATTTTTTAAATTTATTCATCATCATCTTAATTGTATTATTAATATTTATTATATTTATATAAAAGGTTTTCACCTGTGTCCTATGTATATTTACCAATTACTGATAATGTTGTCTGTATACATATTGTATATTAATATCATATAATATATAAACTATGTGGTTCGAATTATTGTAACGATTTTATAAGAAATTTTTTATTTTCGAATAAAAAAAATACTATAAAATGAAAATATTTTTGTGAAATGTGTATAATTTAATATTTTACGGCCTTTATTGTGACTGCCAAATGGTATAATTATAATGCGTTATATTATATACTTGTATGTAAATATGTTTACTGTGTAATATGTTTTTCTATTCTTTGTCATAATTTAGAATTATATAATATAGGTGATAACTATACTGACTATCATATATTTTCTAGCAATAAATAATTTGTTGATTATGTTGTTTTTTTTTTTTTTGGACGCTAGGCACATAATATAGTGATGTGTACCGGCGCATTGCTGTCCTTAGTGGATAGAGAGTAAGGATGTATTTCGCAAAAATATACGCAAAGGCGCTTATTAAATGACCAAAAATATGTTTATTAATACGAACCACAAAATGTACTGTATTCTAATGCTTAATAGATTTTCTGTATATCAAATGAGGTTCTGACTGAGTGCGTTTAACTCTACGACTGAATGGGCGGCCGTGACGAAGGGTACTCTCTGTGTAACATGCACTATGCAGCCAGGGTAGGAATTGCTGGATAAGCAGATTCCAGCCCGAACGTCCGTTCCCGTAGTCACGTACGCCAGTATACATATCATATTACTTTAATATAACTACGTACTATGCTTAAATATAACAATAGAACATAACTATCTATAATACCTGCTACACCAAGCAATGTACAATTTTACCAGGATCCAGCAAGATTGCTTTTAGATACGGTTGTATCTATCAAAGGCTATAAATAGTTACAAAACTAAATAATTCCTATCAAAGCTAAAAAAAGAAAGAACATTATTCAATTAATCAAGTGCGTATATTTAAAAAAAATTGTCCCAAGTGACTTCTAATGGTTCAAATTTACTGAACAACAAATTTATAAGTTGGACTATTTAATTACCTAGTTGGAAATTATAATAAATGTTCAATTATGTTATTTCAGTAAAACAATACAAGAACGAAATAATAAGTACATTATTTTATCATCGGTTTTCTATTATTATCCTATCTATTTGTTTTCGTATTTTTTGTTATATGAGTAGTGAGTATAATGGCTATTAAATATATATATGTCATCTTTGGATCTTTGACCTGATGTTGAAGCAAACGATTGTTATTCTATAATAAGTTGTGTGAAGTGTTCATTTTTTATAAAATTTAACATAATAATGCGTCACATACATTGAAGCGAGGTTGAAAACCACGTTGGAAGATTTTTTTGAAATTGTTCAATTTATTGCGGAAATTTAAACAAATTAGTATACTCAGTGTACAATGGCAATTGATTTGTGGCGAGGAAACCGCAAAAATTCATGGCTGACTGTAATATTTTTTAAAATCATTTTCTACATTAATTGTATATACATATAAGACAATAAGTAGCTAGGTATTTTTGAGTATTTTTTTTATGTATAGTTTTACGTTATACACGACTTGAGCTACAAAACAGTTAAATAACTAAAATAGTTGAAAAATATAATTTTGTGATTTTCATTACTTATTGAAAATAAGATTTTAAAAATGCAAAAATTAGCTTCAGATCAATTTCTATATTTTCAAAAATTATTTATTAAATATTAGGTATCGATTATTGATAAAAACAAAATTTTCGACATTTTCAGAAATATTTTGAACTACGAGTATAGTATAATATGCTATAAGTATTTTGAATAATAATAAAAATAAATAGTTGTACCTACACGAATGTACGATAAAGCTTTTATTCAATTTTTCGATTTTAATATAAATAAAAAATAATGATAAATATTTTCTAAATCTTATAAAACTAAATAATATTATGACTAATATTTTTTTTTAAATAATGCTTTTAAATAAGGAGTAAGTAGTTATATTCTTTAAATTTATAAGATAATTTCTAGTATAAAACAAGTGTTTTGTTTATAAAATATGACTATTGATGGGTATACCTATAATAAATAATTAAAGATTTCTAAATGTGTTGGTTTTACAATGATGTATATTATTTTTTTATGTCTGCCATTAATTTTAGGATAGTAAAAATATTTTGACTAACTTGATTATTTCAATTAAAAAAAAATTAAAAAAATTGTTTTAATTCGATTTGGGGCGCAGGGGTGGGCAAGTGCCCCCTGTCTCACCCTCGCTAGTCGCTACGTCAATGGCTATCACGATGATGCTAATGGTGTAGCCAAGTCTCTTAATTCCTCCTCCTATAGGAATGGTACCTGCAGGTACCATCATAGGTGGGACGACGATCGCGGCAAATCTTTCAAGGGCGACGGACTCTGATGGTCAGCCCATGAAGCCCTCTCAAAAAAAAATTATCTCTAAACAGACGATGTTGGACTTCTTGTCTCGTCACTACAAACTATGCGCACCGCCCTGCACCTGAGTTGCGATATCACTAGCGAAAAAAAGGTATGAAAACAATACGAAATTATGTAATAATATTTCAAACTAAGTATAAATTTCCTTATTTGAGAGTATCTAATAATAGAATAGAATATTTGAGTTGAGCGAATGTGCGTATTTTATGATCATAATTCGATCCGCGAGTGTATTTTCGCATAAAATTGATTTGAATTTAAAAGCAAAATATTTTTGGATCTGACTCTTCTTCCTTCGGCCATCATATATTAGACACCATTATGAATTATTTTATAAAAACCGAAAAACGAGTRAAAAAAAATTTGTAACCAATATCAAGAGTATAGCGTCCATAACTTGCAGTGGTGGGACGGGTCAGGCAGCTGCAGGGGTGGGTCTGGGGTCATCTTTCCAGCTACCCAACATCGAC